CATTTGGTTCTCGTTTTCATGTTCCATTTGGTTCTCGTTTTCATGTTCCATTTGGTTCTCGTTTTCATGTTCCATTTGATCTTTCAATCCTTCCTGAAATGATTCTTGATACCTTTCTCCTCGAAGATCAGTCTCTAAAGTAAATGGTTTAGGATGTGTTGCTGAATAATGAAGTTGAGGTGGCAACTCCTAAATAGATAATAAAATATATATATGAGAGGAAAGATAAAGATAAATAAAAATAAAAATAATAGACTTACATCTGGTGTGTCGCTTGGAGCCGGCTGTGCTTTGAATAAATGAGTATTTCCCAATTCATCATGGTTTTGATCCAAATTTTCTTGTAGATTATTATTATTAATATCATCAAGAAAAATAATACTGTCGCTATCATCAACTGATTGAGAGTTTGGTTTGGTGATAGCTGGAGACTCTGGTACAGTAGGTTCAATCTTTTGTAATTTTGGTAAACCTAAATCACTACATTCAAAAATCTTAAAAAAATCTCATTAATAAATTTTTATAATTCATTTATTATAACAATCAATATAATAAATCGGAATAATACCTTTTGATTAAAACTTTTGGCTTTGAATTGATTATTTTTAACCTTTTGCATTTGTTGTTCTTCGGTGGATAAAGTACTAATGCATAAACAAAACAAATAATAAATACAAGTCTCTTGACGTATAGAGATCTTTAATCGATTTACTACAAAAGTTAAATGTAAAATATACTTTGATGCTTTTGATTTATGTAATTTTGGAGATCTTGGAATTGTAGGTGGTTTCTTTTGTCCACGATTAATCTTTTTTAAATTAAAAAATTAAAACATTTTAAATATTATTCTTTTTTTTAGAATAATTATATAATGATAAGAACCTTTTTATCGCTGTCAAATGTTGATCTTTCATCCTTTTTCAAAAAGTCTTTAACTTTAACTGCTAATGGAACAAATGGCGACCTTTTTTGAGTTTCATCATGACATTTTGAATTTGGACGTGCAGCGGTACAAAATTTAAATGGTTTGGGTATTGTTGGTTTAAAAGATTTTTTATGTTTCTAAATAAAATATCATAACATAATATTTGGTTATATTTAATTGTATTTATAAAATAATAAGCATCACATTATTATTTAATCAATAAAAATTACGCTAATTCCTGCAGGGGTTTTTTGCGATAAATAATTGGTAGTAGCGATGGCGGTGGTTAACCTGATGGTATCTGAACCAGAATTTTTTTGAACATCTTCAAAAGTAGTAATAATATTATCATGAGGTAAAACAAAAGATGTTGAGGGTGTTGTTTTAGTGTCAAGGCTTTCCGGTTCAACGTTTTCATCAGATCTAACAGGTGTCATTTTTTCTTTCACCATTTTTTCGTTATTTTTTTTCATTTATTGATATAAAATAAAATAATATTAAATATTATAGTTATAAGTTTATTGACAAGCGAGTGAACCAAGCAAATGAAAAAAAAAAATTTGTTTATTCAAAAAGTTTATACGCGAATGACGTTTATGTTATGCAAATCATATAATTGGACATTTAATTTCATTGATTTCATTGGCTAAAATTTTGGTTGATCATTACTCGAATTATCATCGGAAAATGTGAGTTCGGAATTCGACTGTGTCTCAACGTAAGCCTAGTCTAATTTTAAAAATTATCTGCATTGGGTTTCTAGATTTAGTTAGCGCGCTGATTGAATTTCAAAACACTGGGATCGGTGAACAGAGAGACCGTTCTGGGAACACAAAATTAACAAGAGGGGAACACAAAATTTTAACCCATGCCATTTGTTGATTGACCAATTAAAATCGCGAATTTGATAAACGTAGAAATAAATGGAACATGAAAACGAGAACCAAATGGAACATGAAAACGAGAACCAAATGGAACATGAAAACGAGAACCAAATG